TGTTGAAACTGTGAAAAAGAGTGAAAGATAATTAAAATAATTATTATTAATAAAAATTTCAAGCAGTTTCCTATATATATTAAACAATAACAGAGAAATGCAATTATGAATACAAATGGAAGAGAAAAATAGGTAAGTCAGTGTATGAAAGTGATAATGTCTTTGACAGAAGTATTGAATTTCAATAAGAAATTCCCAGGGAAAAAATAAGGGAAAGTGCTATTGAGAGAATTTATGTCCAATTGCTAAGTGCAGCTAACGCAGCACTAAATATAACTTTTGAGGGACCATATTTTGTAATTATTATTAGTAATTATTCATTAAATGATGTTGAGGTTTTCTGGATCAATATATCACTTTTATACCAGGATACATTAGCATCAGGACTGATGCTGAAGCTGAAGCTCCAATACTTTGGGCACCTGATGTGAATAGCTGACTCATTGGAAAAGACCCTGATGCTGGGAAAGATTGAAGGCAAAAGGAGAAGAGGGCAGCAAAGGATGAGATGGTTGGATAGCATCACTGATTCAATGGACACGAACTTGGGTGAATTCTGGGAGATGGTGAGGGCCAGGGAGGCATGGTGTGCTACAGTCCATGGGGTTGCAAAGAGTCGGATACAACTTAGCAACTCAACAACAACAACAACAACAATGAACAATGTTATATATCTTTCAGTGTGTTTATTTATCATTATATCTTCTATAAGGAAGGAAGCACACTATTTGTTGTTCAGTTGTCCGACTTCCCTGTCTTTCACTATCTTCTGGAGTTTGCTCAAATTCATGTCCATTGAGTCGGTGATGCTATCTAACCATCTCATCCTCTGCTGTCCATTTTCTCCTTTGCCTTCAATCTTTCCCAGAATCAGAGTCTTTTCCAATGAGTCAGCACTTTGCATCAGGTGGCCAAAGTATTGGAGCTTCAGCATCAGTCCTTCCAATGAATATTTAGGGTTGAATCTGTAAGGTTTGACTGCTTTGGTCTCCTTGCAGTCCAAGGGACTCTCAAGAGCCTTCTCCAGCACCACAGTTTTAAAGCATCAATTCTTCAGCACTCAGCCTTCTTTATGGTCCAACTCACATCCATACATGACTACTGGAAAAACCATACAGATCTTTGATTTCACAGACATTTGTTAGCCAAATAATGTCTCTGCTTTTTAATACACTGTCTAGGTTTATCGTAGCTTTCTTTCCAAGGGACAAGCCTCTTTTAATTTCAGGCTGCAGTCACCATCTGCAGTGATTTTGGAACCTAAGGAAATACTGTCACTGTTTCCACATTTTCCCCATCTATTTGCCATGACGTGATGGGACCAGATGCCATGATCTTAATTTTTCAATGTTGAGTTTTAAGCCAGCTTTTTCACTTTCCTCTTTCACCCTCATTAAGAGGCTCTTTAGTTCCTCTTCACTTTCTGTCATTAGAGGGGTATCATCTGCATATCTGAGGTTGTTGATATTTCTCCCAGCTATATTGATTCCAGCTTGTGATTCATCCAGCCCAGCAATTTGCATGATGTACTCTGCATATAAGTTAAATAAGCAGGGTAACAATATACAGCCTTGTCATATTCTTTTCCCAATTTGGAACCAGTCCATTGTATCATGTCCAGTTATAACTATTGCTTCTTGACCTGCATACAGGTTTCTCAGGAGACAGGTAAGGTGGTCTGGAATTCCCATCTCTTTAAGAATTTTCCACAGTATATGGAAAATTTATGTAAATGGAAAATGTATATAAATGAATACTGAGGCAAAATTAGCAATCTCTGCAATGACATTTGGGTGTAGTAAGACACACTTGCTTTTAGCGATAGAGAAACTTGTATCCTTTGACCTGGGTTGGTTAGTGGCTTTCTGTCATTCACCCTATGCCCTGTGAAAATGGTAATTTTTCTGTTTATGTTTCTGCCAAGTAATTAATGCTATTCTACTCTATCCAGACATTAGTCTGGTCAATCTATTCTTATTGGCATAGCTTTTCATTATCTTGAAGAACATTTTATATGTAACTTTAGTGAATTTCATTGTATACTAATGACTTTTAAATTATTTTATAAACATGATGGTTACCACACTTTTAATACTCTTGTACTTAGAAAGTTCTTTTTGCCCTTTCTCAATAACTCCTGTTTTTTAATCAGTATTCTAACCACTTAGAGAGTTCTTTTTGCCCTTTCTCAATAACTCCTGTTTTTTAATCAGTATTCTAACCACTGTAATATATTTTCCTGGATTTCATTCAGACTCTTTTCAAAAAATGATTCGAAACTTTTGAAGATTTTCAATTATCAATAATATCCAGTGTTTTCCCTTTTTCCCTTTGTCATCAACTCTTTAGTCCCTTAAAGGTATATAGAGGCAAACATCCAAAAATTTTACTAGGGATCATTTCACTTACTTCCTCTTGTTATCCCTTCCTTGGTGTTCAGAGATTCTACCCACCATTAGGGGCTTCCCTGGTGACTCAGATGGTAAAGAATCCATCTGCAATGCAGGAGACCCTAGTTTGATTGCTGGGTCAGGAAAATCCCCTGGAGGAAGGCATGACAACCCACTTCAGTATTTTTGCCTGGAAAATCCCATGGACAGAGGAGTCTGGTGGGCTACAGTCCATGGGGTCGCAAAGAGGCGGACACGACTGAGAGACTAACACACACTAACACACACACTTACCATTAGAGTTTCCACTAGTTACATATGAAGTAGGACTTCTGATATCTGTTTCACATGGCAAAATTTATAGTTAATTGATAGTTAAATTTATTCTCTTAAACTAATTCAGAGTAGAAGAATGGCAAGTCTGCAGTGGACATTTAGCATGTCCACTTAATCTTCAAGTCCTCATTTTAGTTAGTTCATCATTTATTATAACGTGGAATAAAATTTAACCTTATTTATAATATATAAAGTGTTCCATTCAGAGTGCCTACTTTGATTTTTATATAAAAGTCCTGCTAACCATGCTGCCTTGGAAATCTGGCAAAGATGAACACACACATTTCATCCATGATATATAATGAAAATTATTCTCCATGAAGCCTCCATATTAGAAAATTATACACACACACATATAGAAAAGGTACTGTTTATCTTTTTTATCACTGTTATGTAAAAATCTCTTGTTAGGTTATTTGTCCAGCCTTAAAGTAACTACATAATCATGAATAGTTTAAAATTTTGACTAAAAACAGCCTACAATTCACCCTTCATATGTCCACTATTTGATAAAAGAATTTGGAGAAGATACTTTGGAGTTAAACACATGATGCAAGTGTTAAGAGTACTTTATCTAAAGTTTACATTTAGGGTAGATTAAAAAAAAAGGTAAAAAATCAAGAAGGTTTAATTATAGTTACTAAGGGCAACAGATTGAGCTCTAGGCTTGGGGAAGTTGGAGACAGCTATGTGCCATCCTTGATGAGAGTTTGAACAGAATAGGGAAGCATTGTTCTCCATTTGATTTGCATCACTGTATCTTTAGGATCTATACAGAAGTCGAGACTTGAGACAGTCTGCTTGAGAATGGGCAGTAGGCAATTTTGAGACCTGTTTGGAATTTCCAGTTTTGGCAGAAGTTGATGAGAGGGCTTTGTATGGACTGTGGTCTTGATTCAGTCAAGTTCCTTGGGCCACTGTTGTCTTGGCTGTGCTGTGTCCTGCATAGAGGCTACAAGATACACACTGGATTTGTACTGTGATACCACAGCAGTGATTAGCACAAAAATCCAGGTGTGACTCACATCTCCCTCTTGTGAAGTCATAATATAGAGAAATTTGAAAAAATTATGCAGGTGCTTTTACTCAGTTCAAAAGAATCTGTAAATCACAATGTCCACCACCACTACTTCCACTATTTTCAACTATTGACAATTCCAAGAAATTTTAAAAAATGTCTTTATAGTTTATAGTGAAGTAATAACTTATTGATCATCTTAGAACTGTGAGAATCTTGTAAAAACAATTGTGGGAAAGTTTTCTGCAAGGATATTTAGGTCTTGAAGGATGAGTAACTGACCAGGAGATGGAAAGGCTAGTCCATTCAGAGTGAAAATCATGTGCCATGGCAGTGAGGAAATGAAAGCACCTAATTATAAATAAATTTTTATGTGAGTGGGAAATTCTATATAGTTTTTAAAACAAGGGGGTGGAGGGGGGAGCCATTTCTGCACTGCTTGGCTGCAAATTAATAAAGGTCTGTGGAAGAAACTGTTGTGAAGTTATCAGAGGCAATTAAGGCAGGGAATAGCATTCGCCTAATGTTTTGAAACCAAGGACTACCACAGCAGATGCAAGATGAGGAGAGATGATGGATTGGGCAGTGTGAATTTAGACCTGTTGGAAAGGTGCTCATCTAACATGAAGATGTTTGATCTGAATCTTCTGAGCAGCACCTTCTTTCACAAATGAAGAAACTTACACCTAGAGGATTTAAAATTTTTATAGCCTCTCTTTAGTGTGTGGTCCTTGAACCTGCACCATTGGAATCACCTGGGACTGTCAGGCCCTGCCCCAGGTCTACTGAAAACATATTATGAATTTTAACAAAAACCCAGAGGATTGCTAGTAGATTTTTAGAAACACTAGCCTAAAGGCAACTGAGCCGGAGTCAGGGGGATCTGGCTGTGTTTCCATTGCATTCCTCCGTTTCTGTTACATCTTGCTGCGTACTTGGGCACACACTTTCACTGCTCTTTAAGCTTAATCTACAGAGAGAGCTAGGAAAATGCCCACCCCGCCAGCGGCCTCTTAAAATCCTGCCAGGCTGGGATTTGGGTGACCAAAGCACGTTTTACAGTTACTCTGATGACACCTGGGATACCGAGTACTTTCTCCGGAATCTGTGAGGTTGCCAACTCGCGCAGCTTGGGCGGCGCCAAAGCCGGCTGGGCTGGAGGCGAGCGCGTGGCGTCGGGCGGTTGCCTAGCGACGGCGTCCATGCTGGTCCGTGGTCAAGTCCGCGACGGTTTGCGGGCTACAGAGAGCACGGCCATGGAGGCCGAGAAGAGCTCCCTCGTGATGCGGGACTTGGAGACCCCAAAGAAAGACATACAGATGCGAGTGACCCCGCCGGAAGTGAAATTTCTGGACGCGCTGGCAGGGAGGGTCTACCGCCTCCCAGTTACCGTACACAATCTCGGCCGAAGCAACCAGAAAATCCGTTTTCAGGAGCCTGTCAAGCCACAGGTAACACACCCAGGGGTGTTCAGAGCAGGGCCTGGGGAGTAGGCACCCGACTCCTGGGAGGGTGCGGGCAGAATTGAGCTTCCTGTGAAGCGGTGATTTGGTGGGCTGGCCTTTTTGTTTCTTTCTTTTTTTTTTCCTTTTTGCTTGGGGCTGGGAGACAGGAGAGAAAAGTTGATCTGGAATCTCCCAGTTCCTTCATTTGGAGTTTGGGGGAAAAAGGGAAGAGGATTTTATGTGTCTCTCCTCTTAACAGCCAAGAAGCTATGCTTCATAATGTAGAATTATGACAACTTATTCTCTATCAACTCCCTTTGGGTCATAAAGTGCCTGATTACTCCAGCTACTGTAGGATAGCAGAAAGGTTTATTATTTCATACTGTAACAAACATTTGTTTAGCACATGCTACAAAATAGAAAGTAGGTGTGAGCCATGTAAAATGGAGACAGTTCTGCCCTCAAAAAACTTAGAAACTAATGAGGGAGGGGACTTCCCTGATGGTCCAGTAGTTAAGACTCCATGCTTCTACTGCAGGGGTCACAGGTTTGATCCCTGATGAGACGGCAGCGACCAAAACAAAACTAATGAGGGAGTTAGTACAAGTTGAATAATCAGCAAAATTAATGTTCTAAGAGGCTATCCCTATCTTTTCACCTTTCTTTTGATTTAAAAGTTGACAGAACTTCATCTCTGTCACTGTTATTTTAGACTTTCTGTGTGAACGAATGGATATTAGTTTATTATGATCACATGTTCTCAGGGAGACTTGATATAGGACAGGTGAAAATAATTTTTGATGTGGAAGTGATGCATAATGCAGGCTGCATTTTCTCGTGAAATAGTCATAATAATGATACTGAATGCAGCTGGACTTCTCTATGCAGATACGGAAAGGTTCACTTACGATTACATATGTTTCTAACTACTGTAGGTTGCTGTTAGAAAATGAATCCACAGTCCCGTCTTCAGTGTTTTGTTAACTCGTGTGGCCTATGGTTCAGTCAGGCCAGTCTTATGCTCTACTTTTTACACTTAAAAAACTGATGTACTGTTTACCTACCCTAAAGTGCACAGAAACTTGAAGTAAAGCTTGATGGATTTTTAATATGCATTTATCTCCATGTAGCTACCACTTAGATCAAATCATAGAATATTTCCAACACTACAGAAGTTTCTCTGTAGTACCTGGAGTTATCACCCCATGGAGGTAGGTGACCACTATACTGACTTGTAATGAACCAGATTAATAGTCAGTCCTTGGGTTTCATATAAATGGAATCATTCTTCATGGATTTTTGTATTTACATGTTTGACAGTAGTAATGTGTTTATTTTGTAATAAAATCATACAGAGCCTAACCCTTTAAATCAGGAAGTACCTGATTGCTACAAACACTGTAAAATTAGAGAAATCATTTATTATTTCACTACTGCACTACAGATGTATTAAACAATTGAATGTACATCTGAATATATTTTCTTTTAAAAGTCAAGTTGGCAGTAAATCCCAGATGTGGGCAAACACTATTTTATGGATGTCTAGGAGACACTTGTATGAGTGGTTTTTATGCAGTCAGAAGAAAAATAATATATTTCATTTCAGTGTGATTTTTGTGTAGAACACAGGTCTTGACATTAGCAGAATGGCCAGACAGGTTTACTAGTTAGAGGCCAAAGCTATGAGCTCGATATCAGTGTGAACTTACATTTGTTGCAAGATCATGATGTGCACTCCTGGTCCTTCATAGGTGTAAAGGGAATTAAGGAAGGGATAGATTTGTAAACAATATATTAACTGTCTTGGAGGAAACAAGAAAAAAACAGGGTGCTATATAAAGAACATTGCTGTCGTCACTATTGTAGTTACTTAGGAAACAATTCTGTTAACACACGTCAATGCTTCTTTTCCTCCTTGTTTTCCAAGGTCCTGCATTCCCTACTATTTGCCATACGCAGTGATGTATGCCACCTACTGTGGGTTGTTGTTAGAAAACTAAGACCCAGTCCTGTCTTCAGTGTTCTGCTGACTCATGTGGCCTCTGGTTCTGTCAGGCCAGTCTTTCTTGCCATTGTCCTCCTACCCATGTTGGTTCAGACTTCCTTTTCTTTTGACCCATGTTTTCATTCTCCCCTCCTGTAAGAATCACTGCCTTCCAAATCCTGTCCATCTCCGAGCGTCAAAAGTGAGTTTTCATTTTTCTCAAACAAATCTCTTATCTCCAAATTCTTTCTCCCTGCTGCTGCTGCTAAGTCGCTTCAGTCGTGTCCGACTCTGTGTGACCCCATAGACAGAAGCCCACCAGGCTCCCCTATCCCTGGGATTCTCCAGGCAAGAATACTGGAGTGGGTTGCCATTTCCTTCTTCAATGCATGCATGCATGCTAATTTGCTTCAGTCATGTCTCTCTCCCCTACTGGATAGTAATTGCATATGTGGACATTCATTAGAGTTTGGACTTGTGTCTGGTAAATGTTACTTTCACCTCAGTGGTCACATCATAAGTTCCTAAGAGTAGGGTTGGTGCCTTTGACACCTTTGCAGACCACCAAGAATGCTAAGAAACTTGTAGTTTGGGTATGTGCTGCTGAATCACTCCTTGCCCTTCTTTTTTAAAGGAAGATGCTCCAACCTGCTATGTGGACTTTTGGCACCCAAAGACCTATATTTATCCCTTGTTTTTTTTTAGGAATTGATGAGGGTTGAAAGTTGGGCTGTGGTAGTTATGAGGTCTCAGAGTCATTTATTTTTGCTGGAAGGATGACACTTTGAGACCAATTGTATCAACACATCTTTCCAGTACTTTATTACCCTCATTGCTGGAAAGCACTGCTTGTACTCAGTCTGGCATTAAAAGCCCTGAAAAGTTAATTTCAACTTGACCTCCATTGTTACTCATTGAAGCTCTTTGCCCAGCGAGACTAGCTTACTAGCTGCCTGCTGAAAGTTTATTTTGCTTATTCTTTTCTCTGCATGTGCCTGAGATATTCCTGCCTCCACAGGGAGCATCTTTCTTGCTTCTTCTCTACCCTATACATCCATCCTCCAAACCTGCGTTGAGTGTGCTCATTCCTAGCCCACAGTTATCATGTTTTCTCTTGGATTTTCATGATACTTAGGTCTGCATCACTCATATGACAACTGATTAATCCCTGACTTAAACATTATGTAATTTTCAAGGGATATATAATATGCTTCTTTTAAGAGATTATATATTCAGGAGTTTCTAGTTGTGGGGAAAGAGCTTAAGTTTTAGAGTCAGATAGATGGATGTTTTAAGTCTTCATTGACACTCTTGAACCTACAGGCACTCTTGAAACCTACAGTTTCCCATCTCTACACTAGGAGCCTTAATATCGGCCTTACAGGGCTGTAGAAGTATATTAAGTGGGCTAATAGTTGTCGAATGCTTGATCTACCAGAAGTACTTAATACATAGAAGTTCTTCTCGTTCCCTCTTCAGGTCTTCCTGGAGTCTAGCAAATGTTTTTCAAGAACAAAAGTTCTTTTTCCTTGGTCTATTCCTTTTTATATTTCCTCCACGTTCTGAAGTCCAAGTCCTCATGCAGAAAGTATATAAAATGCTATATATATTTATGAATGTATGTGTGCTTGTACATGTATATTATATATGTATTTAGATTGAATAATATTTTTATTAGATTACTATTCCCTTTTCCTGTATTTTAGTACCTCATACTTCTAAAGGTGTATGTTGAGTGGCTCAGATGGTAAAGAACTTGCCTGCAATGTGGGAGACCTGGGTTCGATCCCTGGGTTGCAAAGATCCCCTGGAGAAGGGCATGGCAATCCACTCCAGTATTCTTGCCTGGAGAATCCCCATGGACAGAGGAGCCTGGCGGGCTGCAGTGCATGGGGTCACAAAGAATCAGACATGACTGAGCGACTTAGCACAGCTCTTCCCTTTTTCTTTTCTGTATTTTAGTACTTCATACTTCTAAAGGAGCCCTTGAATATTTACATATTTCTCGACTGACTGCATTTTCAGTTTCAGTTCATTTACCATTAAAAGTATATCTGAAGCATGTAGAATTATTAGGGCAGGAATATTGCCTGTATATTAATATATCTCTTGAAATAATGTACACTCCTTACTACAGCTGCTCATATTATTTTCTTATTAGGAGTTAAGATGTGTAATTTTTTTTTTTCCTCCATTGAAGTTCAAACTGATTTTGACCAATCGGGATAAAGAACTTGCTTCTGGCCTTCAGACAACAGCTATGGTGGAATATCATCCTGATAAGAATGAAGACATGTGTGACCAACTTCTTATTTCAGTAGGAAATAAAACAATAGAGATCCCTCTAATTGGGTATGTATTCTTCATAATTGAGGTTAACATTTTGAGCATCTTTCAGATGAAAATAAGAGTCATAATAATATTTTCTATTTTCTCTAATAGGGCTTTTTGTATCTATAGTATCCTTAAACTGAACTTCAAGAACAGATTTTTCAGCAAATTGTAGTGTTCAAAACAAATGAAAGACTAGCTTTCTGTTTTTTATTAAAATCACTTAGAGATATTCGACAATTGCTTGTATTCTTTTATTTCCCTTGAGCTCACATCCTATTTTATTTCTGCCATATTTTCTGTACCTTTTGATAGCAAGATTTATTTTTAAAATACTATTTTTACTGTCTCCACAATCATACTTTTTATTCCCATTCCAACAAAATCCATCTGGCTATCGTCCCCAGCTTTCCAGTGAAGTAGCTCTTGCATATTGCCAGTCTGTTGGTACCTCCTTTGTCTTTAACTTGATTTCTCAGCATCAGACACAGTTAATCATTATTGCTTCTGTGGGCCACTTTATTCTCTTGACTTACTTGCTACTATACTTCTTAAATGATTATTCCTTCTAATCCTATTTTACTTTAAAAAAATTGAAATGCAATTGACATAGTAATATAGCACTGTATAAGTTGATGGTGTACATGTTGATATGATACATTTATACATTGTAACATATTACCATCATAGGGTTGGCTGACACTTGCATCACATTTACTTGGTCATCATTTCTTTCCTGTGGTGGCAACAATTAAGATCTTATCTGTTAGCAGCATTGAAGTTTATAATATATTATTGTTGCCTGTGATCACCATATTGTATGTTAGCTCTCTGGAACATATTTATCTACTAGTTCCCAAATTGTACCCTTAAACAAAATCTCCCTAATTCTCCTACTTTCCAGCCTCTGATAACCAGCGTTCTACTTTCTATTCTTATGTTGTATATATTCCTAAATGGATTATTGTTACCCCATAGTCACATTTTAATTTAATTTTAAATTATTGCTGTATTTGCTTCACAGAATTTTAAATAATGCAGACATTTGGCTTCAAGAAAATAAAAATGGTGCTCTTCTGAGATTGGCTAAAGAATATGGACTAGTATAATGAATATAATATAGAATTAAATAACTGATTTGAAGATTAATTTTAATACAAATAATTTATTTGACCAAGACATTGTGCTTTTCATTTTACATTGAAAAAAGTATTGTTCTGTTCATTATAAAATTATCTGTTAAAGCTATTATAAAATTTTTAGGTATTTTTAATATATATACTTGCACAATCCTTCTTTTTACAGCAACATATGATTCTATAGGTATTATTTTTTTGTTTCTATTTGCCCACCACCAGCAGAATTAATATTGAAATATTAATATTAGTATTAGATATAAGCCTTTTAATAGTTTCCCATGTGTTTTCTTTTTTATTTTTTTTCATTTTCATGAACTAAATTTAGATGTGCAATTATTTGGGTTCTCCATGTTGAGAAATTCTGCTTTAGCACAGCATCCCATTTTGCATAGGAATCAAACAGTTGACACATTTTAGGCAAGGAATAAGCTATTCCTTTGCACCATTGGAAGGTATTTATTTTTTAAAAAAAAAAGGAAGGTATTTATTTAGCTTTGAGAGCATTTCCAAGTTTGGAGATAACTGGTACTTGGTATTAGTGTGTTGATCATTCATTCCCTTCTCCAGAATTTCCTTCAAGTGTGACCCTTAGATGAGGTTCAACTGGTAACTCATTTTGCAGAGAGCATCTGGAGTCAAGAGGCACTTCTCCTGATAGGTGGCTTGATTCTTTTCGTCCTCAGAGGTCAAATGTCTTGACATGTGGTGGTGCATATGGACCAGAGAATTTTTTTTTATACAAGAGGAAGACCAACCAGTAGGAAAGCCAGAGAAACTATTAAATATTACCATATCACCACACCCTTACTCCTTAAACCATATATATGTGTATGCATGTATGTACATTTATATGTATGTGTATGTGTGAAAGATTTTCAAGAAATTATTAAGATTCTTTTTCACACCTAGCTAGAGAAAAAGCTTGAAAAAATGTTCAGCTTTTCATCTTATATTGTTTGCATTATTCTTCTTCTTTTAGATCTTACAAACTCTTTATTAACACAATTGTGTATATACATATAAGCATATTGTAAAGAGATGTACAAGGTCATTGATCATTTTCTGTCACAAAATTACAGTCTCTTTATGAGAAGAACATGGGTGTTTCTTAGAATATGCAGCATAAACAGGATAGTCCTGGCTGATCTCTGGAATGTCTGTACCTATCCAATAATACAAAAACATGTTTAAACACAGATCCCAGAAAGAAGGCCCAGACATCAATGAGTAACACAGTATTTGTGAATGTTTTCTTCAGGTATTTTTATTTGTGAATTTTGGTATGTTTGTATGTATATATGATTGTATGCAGGCATGTATATATTTATATTTTGGAGGTTATATCCCAAGTGGAGTGAATTAATTCATGTGTCTGGCATATAACCTAAAGATTCAGTAAAGATCTGTTATTACTACATTTATTATTGATGTTGTCATCATTGTTAGGTTTCTAAGGTAATGTACATGAAATGTAGCCAAAGTCCCTCAATGTTATATCTAGATAATTCCTTAGATAAATAATTTAGGCTGTTTAAGTCTTTTGTTTCTCATCTGTAGCATAGGAGCCATAGTATTTACCTATCTTTCAGAAAATTTGTTAATATCAAACAGGATAATATTCTTAATGATGCCTTATAAACTAAATTAGTATCCAGATTAAAAACATACATGTGTATATATATATATATATCCTTATGAGACATGTATATAGGATTAGAATGGATTTTTAAAATGCTTATGAAAACATGTGCTACAGATGTGCACATGAAAAATCAATTGCATCCTTTTGTTCTTAGACCTTTTCTTAGTTTCCAAGTGATATTTTATAGTATCGCGCCTTCTTTTATTTCATCAGAAATGGCATCATCCAAACGACTTACTTTGTTAAGATAACTGGTACCCTTTTGAGGGAGGGGGCAAAAGAACATATGGTGTATGTATGCCCCCGCCCCTTCTGTGGGGGGTCGGCAAAAGAATATATGGTTTAGGTGGAGATTTCAGAACAGAGTTCCAAGTATGTTTTGAGCTGCAAAAAAATTGAGATACACGGGTAACCTTTCAAGGTGAGTACTTGGGAGGGTATTCCATGTATTTATGCACAGAATCTGATTTTTTAATTTAAAATGTCTCTCATTATCTTTTTTTGTGTCTTCATTTCACAGTTTTGTTTACTGACAAATGTCCCACCAGCAGACCTGTAAGGAAACTGAAATCTCTTTTAATGAGTTAAGATAAAAGTCCCTGTGGATTTAACTATGAGGTTATAGTTGTTAAAATTCATCATATGGTCCTCTTTTCTCCTCTTCTAGGTTGATTCCATCATGTCAATTGGAAATTGAGCCCGAAGTTAATTTTGGGACTTTGGTTGCCAGTAGTAAAGTGTGTTGTAAAGAGATTAGTATCATTAACCATGGCAGTGTGCCAGGTAAATACTTTCTCTTCTATAAATTAACTTACACATTTGGAAGAAAATCAGTAATGTTTGAAATATATTTTTGTTGTTCTTTCACTCAGTAATGTCCGACTCTTTGTGACCCCACAGACTGCAGCACGCCAGGCTTCCCTATCCACTGTCTCCTGGAGTTTGCTCAAACTCCTGTCCATTGAGTTGGTGATGCCATCCAACCATCTCATGCTCTGTCATCCCCTTATGCTCCTGCCTTCAATCTTTCTTGTGCAATTAATGTATTCTCTGGTTCACCCTGCCCCTCAACAATTAGGTCTGTCATTTGAAAAAGTTCAAAACTGAAGGTCCTTAAGTAGGATTACTGTTTTAGAAACTAATAGGCAATATCAGGAAAGATGACTCTACATCCTTGTGATTCTTATTAATATAACTTGACTCAGATGACTGATGACCTCCTTGAGGATAGACATAGAGTGGTGTCATAGAAGTGACACAGTCCTTAGAGCTTTCCAGAAATAGAATCAGGGCACAGTGCCTTCCAAGCTTTGTGATCTGGGATGAGTACCTTTAAGAACATTGAATTTCAGATTCCTCGTTTATAAACTGACTAATAAAATATATTGTGGTTAATTACCGGAGGCTGTAATATGGTACTTGACTTATCACAAGTACTCAGCAAAGATTTGTTCTTTTTCTCTATCACATGCAACTTTGAATTCACATACTGATCCCTTACTTACAGGCTCTTACTAACATTTTATTGAAAGAAAAAGTGCTTCTCTCTTCTCCATGAGATTATTTCTAGAGATTCTTACTGGGACCTAACAGTTTGCATAAAGGCCTAGGGGTGTGTGTGCGCGTGCACACATGTGCCTGTGTCTTCATTGATATATAGTAGGTATACAGTCACTTAGCCTTTCATTCTCATGATTGAATGGTCAGCATCTGGGATGATAAGACTAACATTTTTCTCAAGCTGAGATGAGGACAAGCTCCAGACAGGCAGGACATTTCTCTCTTGAGATTGCTTGTTGGGTACATGAAACAGGTCTTATATCTAAACCTGTCTTACACTAAGTGAGGGCATTCTCTGGGGCTGCTTGAATGAACAGTGGAAATTATTAAGACAAAGGAAGTCTGACATTTTACTGATTTCTTCCTGGGATATAAACAGGTAAAACTGATAATTGTTCCTCACTGAATGTTACTTATTTCACTTTCTGTACTTTGTTTTTTAAATGTTTGAATTTATGAATTCTGTGAGATTGTGGAATATTAGGCCCATTTGTGCCTGACTCCAGGGTTAAGGCTGAACTCTGTTATGGTGAGTTACTCTGGTCTAAATAGTCCTTTAGATCTGATTATGGAGCAGTGATATGTAATTGACAGAATTTTATTTGTATTATTTTACTTTCCAAAATTTCTTATAACTGTTGTCCATTACAAATTCTTTAATGCTTTGATCATATCCTCTCTTTATTTTAAATTTATTCTAAATTGATTCTACATTCTAGATTTTATTCTAAAATCTTACCAAATTGTACATTTTATTACATATAAAAACTCTGTAAAAGTAAAAAACGTATATTTGAATTTTAATTGAATGTTTAATATTACTTTACTTAATAAAAGTACACATATGGACCTGAGTCCATACATTTTAGGAAGAGTAATTCACATTAACTTTTAGTATGTGTGCATGGTATTGTAGTTAATACTATTCTTGGTAAATTATAATTGAATATTATGAAATGTTAATTGCCATTACCTTACAAGCTGAAACAAATTGTTATCAGTGAAACACATTTTCTTTCTGCTGCCTTTGTCCCTCATTTTTGGAGTTGAATATTTTTTTCTACCCTTACCAAAATTGATAGTATGTTTTATATTCACAGTAGCAAGTGCCCATAAAGTGTCATAAAGTCCTCATTCTCCATAAGCACAATATATAAATATTCATGAGAATTATGTATTTTCATGAAGAAAAACACTTAAGCAGAAAATAGATTCAGCAACCAAAGATGATTTTAATAAAATTTTCCAAAAGGATTTTATGTGACAAATATTTTATAGTTTTAGAATCAAAGATTAAGTGTTTACAAATACTCAGTGAAAGCCTTAGTTGCTCAGTCATGTCCTACTCTTTGTGACCCCTTGGACTGTAGCCAGCCAGGCTCCTCTGTCCATGGAATTCTTCAGGTAAGAATACTGGAGTGGGTTGTCATTCCCTTCTCCAGAGGATCTTCCTGACCCAGGGATTGAACCTGGGTGTCCCGCATTGCAGGCAGATTCTTTACTATTCAAACCACCAGCGAAGCCCTTATGTATACTTAAGAGAACATTAAAAAGCCACACTTGGCAAGTTCATGATTTGTGTAGCTGTGTGTTCTCTCTGTGGTACTTTCACTGACATAGATGCTAGAGTTTATCTATGTAACAACTTCATGATGTTTTATTTTAATAATCTATTGCTGCTGCTGCTGCTGCTAAGTCACTTCAGTCGTGTCCGACTCTGTGCGACCCCATAGATGGCAGCCCACCAGGCTCCCCCATCCCTGGGATTCTCCAGGCAAGAACACTGAACTGGGTTGCCATTTCCTTCTCCAATGCATGAAAATGAAAAGTGAAAGTGAAGTCGCTCAGTCATGTCCGATTCTTAGCGACCCCTTGGACTGCAGCCTACCAGGCTCCTCTGCCCATGGGATTTTCCAGGCAAGAGTACTGGAGCGGGGTGCCATTGCCTTCTCTTTAATAATCTATTATGGAGTTACTATCCATGGATTTAGCTGAATGTTGTCAAATACATTTTGTTGTATTGCCCCTTGTAAGAATGTTTGCCTAACTTACCAAGTAGTGCTTATCTTTTCACTTTGAAAAAGCATGGTTTAGTCTTTAAGATGTTTCTAATAGTGTTTTGTGCTCTGGTAAACTCCATTTCCTCTTTTATGTTTTTATCGTTTCTTAGTTTTTAATCATTGAAGATTGAAAAAAAAACCAGCATTTTTTGAATTGCAAACATTTCCCTCTTCCCCTCTTGAATCTTTAGGTACTTTTTCTACTACTGTATTATTATGTGGAATAGTCTTAAAAGTCCATAGAGTGATCTTTACACACCATTTCTGGATTTCAACGGCTACCTTAGGACTCCTTTAGGTTTATTTTACCCCAAATATATGACCTTTCTCTTGCTCTTAATGCCTGCTGCCTCTCTTCCCCTGATCATCAGCATCATCTCTCGACATCACTGTCTAGAAAAGCCTATCGTCATCTCTAAAGCAGGAAATTTGCTAAATTGAATCAGACCCAGAAGTGGTCCTAAGAATCCTTTCTTAGCTAGAGAAGCACACACTACTTATTCTCAGTGTATTTTTTGTTTGTTTGTTTTCTTGGAAATCAATGTCATGAAATCTCAACATACTTTTCATGTGTGACACAGTGTTGGGCATATACTAGGCATTTAGTGAGCATTCATTTATTTGATTTGACCTGGAGTGAGGTCTTCCAGAGTCCAAATCTTGGTTACAGTATTAACTGGCTGGGAGGCCCTTCGCAAACAATTTATACTTCTCGAATATTCATTGCCTCACTTACACATTAGGGATAAACATAATACCATCCTTGTATAATTGTGGTGATGATTAATAAAATGCTTACTATACTCTCTGACATATATTACATGTTCAATAACTACTGTTGATGTTAGAATTATTCTTTTTTTCCATCTTCCTTAATTTTCTTGTGGACTGCTGTTTCTTTTCTCGGTACGTTAGAAGTGAGTGTTCCTTAGCATTTGTCATGAACCCTCATGTTTTCTCAGTCACTCTGCTCTCCCTGGGCAATCGCTTCCATTCCTGTTACTTAACTGATGTCTATACAAGACTTTGCATTTATTTCAGGTTTTTCAGACTTAACACATCTAAAACTAAACTACTCAACTTCTCCCCCAAAGTTCTCCTTTTCTGTTTTTCATTGAATGTCACCACCATGTAGATGGCCAAGTCAAAAATTTGGCAAAATCCTTGACACCTCATCCTTTTCACCCTCTACCCCCTTACTGAATCAATTATCAAATCATGTCTATCCACATCCTTATCATGTCAGTAATCCTATTTTTCTTTTGTCCCATTGTCCCTTTTTTCATCTTTTTTTGCCTTATAGTTATCACAACCTAAATTATTTCTCTGGAGTCTCTTCTTATCTGCTTGTAGTTCATTCTCCACACATTGGCCAATTTCATATCTTAAAAAAATGAAAATTTGATGACAAAAATTCTATCTGTAACATCTTTCCTTCAATGACATCCTTCTCCTAGGATGATGTCCTTGCTCCTGTGTTAACATTAAAAAAAGAAAAAAAGTCAAATATTTCATTATTACTGATGGCATTAAAGTTACATAAGACAGAGTAATGTTTGTGCACTCACTATTCTAATATATTTAAAAGATTCAACAATGTTCTTTTCTTAGGCGTTGTTCCTGGCTAAGCTTTTGCACCATTGACTTTAGACTCAGCCTTAGCTGAACTCATATAGTTTTATTTTCTTGGAGAACTGAGTCAGTAATACTTGTTTATTTGTAATGGATATAATTTTACAGATTTTTGCTTTATATTATGACAGAAAAAAAAATATTTATGTCATTACCATGTCTCTCAAAATGATTGGATTAACACATTTTGTTACTGTGAGTTTGTTGACCTTTTTTCATCAGGTCGTTTCTGGATTTAAAGTTTTATTATCTTTTTATATTTTCAATACTTTTATTATGCTAATATTTTTATTCTCCTAAGTTAAATGAATAATTTTGGAGAATGTCATCGAATGTGATTTAAAACTGGTAAATTAGGAATCTTCAAAGTTGTTTATGTGGACAGCATGCTCATTTGTGTTAATATTGTATAGTGATATCAAAGACACTCATGACTGGCTGCTTCCCATTTGTTGGACATTTTGAGCACTGCTTGGTGCTAGGCACTGTGTGGGTTGCCAGGGCTACCGAGATGGAAAGGAGATAGTATCTGCTATAGACTGCATGCTCTAATATAGGCACCTGACATTACCATAAACTATGGACCATTTCTGCTTTCAGAATAAGAAATTTTTGTGGCCTCCTTCTCATATGCTTTTTTATTCTAGAAATTCATTCCTTTCACCCATTTCCTTTGTGAACTACATTAACTCCATAATGGGTAGTAGTGGTGGCTATAAGCCCTGTGGTCAGAAACATCCAGGTGAAAATCCCAGCTCTATTAGTTATTAGCTATAGTAGTCAACTATTGATGTGGAAGGAACCATGCCATGATTCTGTAGCTTAAAAAAGCAATATTCTTGCCTAGAGAACTCCATGGACAGGGGACCCTGACAGTCTATAGGCCATGGGGTTGCAAAGAGTTGGACTAATGCTGTTATGCAGATTAGCAGGAACTTTACTAAACTGAGTGACTCTGCTTCAGGTTGAGGCAGCCAGGCTGGTCTGTTACTCACAGCAGGCCTGTGAGTCAGTTGGATGGCTGTCTCTGCTCCACATTTGCTCCTTATGGGGCATAGGCCAAAGGGACAGCAGTTTCTCAAAAGAAACACTTTCAATGGTAGGAGAGCAGGAGAACATCTAGACTTGGAGCTGATATGCTTCTAGCTTCTCACTTCTAGCTCCATGCTATTGGCCAAAGTGAATCACATGATCAGGCCCATTCAAGGGGTAGGAAAACATACTTAATCCATGGGAACATGACAGTAAGCATGTAGAGAAGATTGAAGAATTGGAGTTGATCATCCAATCTATCATAATAATTGTGTATTTTTGGACAAGTGACTTGACCTATCTAAGTATGTATTTCCTTATTTATAAAATGGAGGTAATGCTTGAACCTGTATCATAGATTTCATTTTGAGGACTAAGTAGAATAACACATGCATAGCTCTTAGCATGAGTGTCTGAGCACAGTAAGCAGACAGTATATTTTAGCTATTGGTGAGGGTTGAGTCTTAACACTAGGCTCAAATTTATTGGATGACCCTAGAGACTGGACTTACAATCAAAGCTATGATTCTTGGTCCACAGTAGACCATATACTCTGTAATGTGTGTCTGTCCCCTACTAAGTGAGTGAATGTTAACATTATAAGGATCCAAATGTAAACCATCTGCTCTCATTCTCCTTAGGTATCTTTAAAACAGAATACCAGGGCCAACTACCCATTGTCATTTTTCCAACCAGTGGTGTTGTGCAGCCCAAGTCATCAATGGTTATTAAAGTGGATTTTTGTGCAGACCAGCCCATAGTTGTAAACGAATTGGCAAAGTGAGTATATACTATGGTTCTTAATTCTAGTGTAGTGCTTGATAGTTTCCTGTTTCTCTTTTCATGTATGCCTTTTGTCTTTGAATGTATGTTAGCTTCTTTGTTCTTGGAGTCAGCATTCATTCATTGAGTATCTACTGTTTGCCAAGTACTAGAGACTGAAAAAATGGGAATTAACTGGAGAATGGCATATGGGTACATATGGGAGCTCCTAGTTTGAATTTTGTGGGGATGAGGGAATGGATCAAGAAAGAGCTCCATTAAGGAGGTAGTAGTTGAATGAAACACCTGTTGTTGAGTAGAAATTGGCCAGCAAAGAGCAGTGGTGTGATTTGGGCTGAGTGTGAGTGTATGTGTATGTGTGTGTGTGTAGGAGAGGTGGATATTGGTGATGGAAGTAGGTTAGAGGAATGATTTCAGACAGAGCAAGTAGAAGATAACTTCCTAGAGGTTAATAGACAGTGTTACACATCTTGAGATCTGAGGCAAAGAGATGGAGGTGAGGAGTGATGAAACCAGAAAAACAGAATGGTGCAGGGTCCAGTTAAGGACCTTATAGGAAAGTTTTTGTTTTTTTTTTTTGCTATACTTCTCAGTTCATTAGTAGGATATGCAGTCAGTATAATGAGTCACCACTAGTATTAAAACAATGAAATAGAAAATATCAGAATGCATCTCACATACTAAGTTCAAATGGTATTTTGTAAAACTTATTTCATGTGTGTGTGTGTATTTTGCATTGCAGTGTAAAATGCATTTCTCACTGAAGGCCACAGTTCAAAAAAAAAATGTTTGAGAAACAGTTGTGAGCCCTGGTTCAAGCTTAGGTTTTATTGTAAAGGCTGTGGAATCTCAGGAAAGTTTTAGGATGGGGTGTCTTAATTACTTTTAACTTTAGAAAGCTCACGTTAATATCAGTGTACAAAATCAAGAAGTACAGATGTGGAGTGGATAGCCTGACTAGAAACTATAATAGTAAGGCAGAAGAGAAATAATGAAGGCCTCAGCTAAGGTACAGATTAGGAGTATGGAGAGAAATGTATAGAATGGAGGTATGTTATGGAGGTAGATTTGACTAGATTTAGTAACTGGTTATAGAAAGACAAAGTAAGAGGAGGTTCAGGTCAGTGGGAGAAGATCTTGACTCCAGTTTTGTAACGTTGGAATTGATTTGCTTTGCAGAATCCTTTGGAGCCTATTAGATTTACTTATATTGAGTCCCATAAAAAATGTTGGTCTAGATGTATTGCTTTGAGAGTTGTCAGTTCATAAGTTGTAGATGAAGCATGAAGTGTTAAAAATAACTTTGAGAAAGAGAGTAGAGTATAAAAGAGTAGGAGAGAAACAGCATTATTCATGGAATTTACAAAATACCCAAGTCGTAGGAGAATAAGAAGGTAGAGTCTAAATAAGTTGAAGGAAAATCGTGGAAGTATGGCGTCAAGAAAGCTAAGTGAGGGGAGATGTGTAAATAGATGGTATCAACCATGCCCAATGTGACAGAGATAGAGTGTAAGTTAAGGACTTTGGTGATGGCTGTGGTTTGGTCATTGATTTGTGCTATCTGATGGGGCAAGATTCAAAAGGATTGCATTTATGCCAGAGAGGGATAAATGTGAGGTAAAGGAAGCTTCAACAGTAAATTCAGATTAGTCTGAAAAATGAAGTTTTTTGAGGGGGGATATTCATTTCAGCAAGTAAGTGGAGTTTTGCCGAGATACTTTGCTTCATAGAGAATTGGGTTAGTAAGATGAAGATGAAGTTGTTGAGTGGACTTGGGGAAATGGGATGATTAGAAAAGAATCTCAGAATTCTAGAACTAGAGGTGGCCATATAAATCTTCCTATCTAACTCTAGTATTTACAGAATAATTGGTGATATGGAAATATCAATAAATTTTTCTAGGTCAGTTCATGCATTTATTTTCCATCTTTGTTGTTTCCCGGAGACAATAAATTAGATTGCACATATGCCATTCTACTATGCAGGTTCAGACAGACAGAAGGACATAACAGTCTCTGTCACATACGTGAAAGGAACTTCTCTTAGGTCTTCAAATTTTAATTATAATGTGATTTTATAAAATTTCTGCTTATATAATTATTTAGGAGAAAAAGTGTATAGAATTCTAATTAAAATATATATGTATAATTCATTATTTTGTAGAGTGAGTTTGCAAGATCGTCCAGACATATTCTTGAATATCAGAGCCCATGTGGTTGAGCAGATTATTGAATTGTTAAACATAAATAATGATAGAAAGTTGGAATGCATAAGCTTTGGTTCTGTTTTCTTTGGAACGTCAAAGATTGAACATGCACTTCTGTACAATAATAGCCCAGAACCTATAAATTGGGTAGCCATAATGCAAGATGATTCCATTGGAGAAGAATTGGTAAGTAAATAATGGAACAGGAAGATCAGGTATTATGTTTTGAAACAGATTGTTTTGAACTTACTAATAACCAACAAGCTGTTTAATTACTCTAAAAATGTTTTAACATAAAGATATGATTTCATTTCACATGTTTCCAAGGGTGACCTCAAAAAGGTAGTAAATCAAGCTGACCTTGACAGTAATCTATATCTGAAATAAACTAGATGGGTATTAATATGTCTTAGTGGCTAATTATGGGAGTTTATGTCCTCATCAATTTTTCAATAGTTCCTTAAGTTTTATGAGGTGCCTTGATCAAATTTATGTATGTTACTTTAAAGACATACATTTTCTCTATATCTAGCCTCTGGAATCTCAATAATTATTTTATGACCGCATTTTAAAATACTTTTTGTATATTTGCCTTAATATTCTTTTATTTCTGATTTTATATTACAGGGTACAAATATTAAACAAAGCACAGATGTTGCTTTAAATAATCTCGCCTACTTAAAGAAAATAAAGAGCATAGATATTACCACAATTATCTCCTGTGTTCCTAATGAAGGGAGGTTACTACCTTATCAAAAGATTTTAATTACATTTTGTTTCAGCCCAAAGTAAGCAAAAATTAATTTCATTATGGTGTTACTGATCAATGGAAAGTATATTAATGGTACATTCATCAGATTGATTTTAATAGTGCAACTTGGCAGAAGGCACAAATTGGATTTTTCTTATTATGGTTCTAAATATTTCTAACATGGTTAACATTATTTCCAATATTTAAGAATGTTTCTAAACACTTTATTTTAAATTAAAAATCTCTCCAGACCTTGTGGAAATGAGATGGTGAAAGTTTGAGGTTGCTTTGAATTGTGGCCACAGACCAGTCTGTTTGACCAAGACCTTATTGTCCTTCCAGAAATAGTCACGCAGTGGCTAGGAGCATGGAGTTTGTTATAGATGCCTTCAAAGAGGATGCAGTGCTCCTGCCAGGGCCAAATACTTAGACTGAATATCAGAAACATTAGGCCTTTAGTAGCTGCTGGGGTCAACCACACTTGGTTGCAGAAATTCATATAAATGTTTAGGACTTTGGCCAATGTGTAGTTTTCCCTGTGCTTGGTTTGGTTATTTCGTTTGAAAATATCATTGGTAATATTGTTTTAAATATGTAGTAGCAATTTCAGGTACACTTGAGAGGTTGTAGTGTATGACAATAACTGATCCAATTGTCAGTATGTTGACCTTTTAAGAAGGCAATGTTTAATGTATTTCTCTCTGTGGCAACCGGGTCACTTGGTGATACCAATTGTCTGATGAAGACTGAGTTGTGGTTTAATTTAAGGAGGGTAATAAATCAAGTAATTGTGCTATTTGTACAATCTATAATTGCCTTATTAATCATCCCTTCATGCAGGAAATTTCTTTGGTGAATCTGTAAGATTCTGTTTAATACACAATCTTTGAAATTCTAAATGTTCTTTGCACGGCAGTATGTTCATTTTATTTGAGAGTCTAGCATGAACTCAGAAATAAATATGATTTGTAGTCTTAAAGGTGTTCTCGATATGCTAATTGAATTCCTATGTAATATTTCACACCAACCTTTTGTGTATATATTTGAGTATCCATTGCTAAAAAGCTGAGCTCTAGGTAAGGCAAGTAAAGTTTGTGAGGGCACAAGCCTGTGATATAACCCATCTGTGTCTTTGGTCCTACTTCCTTTCTTCTCCTCTTTCCTTTGCTTTTCTCCTCTGCCAAGATTTGGCTGTTACCAAATCCTATTCTCCAAATTGCCTTTTCTCCTCTAACAAGAATGTGGCTAGAAATATATGCTTAGTCCATGGGAGGACATAAATATGTACCAGAGATTCGCAGTTACACCTGGGTGTAGGAAGGACTATTATAGAGAGTTGAACAGAGACCTTAGCTAGCGATGAAGTTTGCCTGGAAAGAAAATCCTTTACACAGAGCGTGGCATTGGAGGCAAGAGTTTGACAGCTTAGTATATTTAAATCCCATATATCTTGCAAATATCATCATGAACTCAGCTGTTTTGACTTCACATCTATGAGTGTGGCCTTCTTTTGCAAGTCTTAGTATTGCGTGGTAATTTTAGAAAATGGATCACAGTTATCTTTTTATTGCTGAATTTCATCTGTGTAGATTTAGGTATTGGGGTTGATATTCCCTTTGGAGAGATTAATAAAGTGTGTCATCTTTGCTTTAGAAATAATTGATTGTAATTTTTTCACAGGTTAATCATTGGTGGTCAAAAGAATGATCCTTCACATAGGCAAGACTATGCTATTTTCTTGAGATTTGAGTCTGTAGGAACTAAAGATGGATTTTTGAGAGATGATAATCAAATCATCAAAAGTAAGTGTGAAATGAACATTCTCATCAAATATGTAGCTGTTTAAATTCTTTAAAAGTTTGGACAGCAATATATGTAGAGGCAATTTAATGAAATGTATAATTATTGATTAGAATGAAAATGCAAACATTCAAGAGATCTTAACATGTCTTCTGTGGAACATTGAGAAAAGTCAACCTCAGAATCATTTATATAATAATTTACCAATTTAAGTTAAATGACTTAATTATTTTAAGATGACAGTAGATAAACATGGTGAGGTAGAGTTAAAGGAATAAAATAAAAACAAAAAACAACCTTGTTTCTTTTCTTTGTAAGCCTAGATTTTCTCTTAGAGATTAATATGGAAACAAATGATCTATTTCATCTTTACCAAACCTTTAGCTCTCTTAGAATCTACATAAAGTAACAGTCAAAGAGTAAGACCTAGAGTTCTAGTATCAATAAATAGGATGCCGTATTTTGTTATAGGATATTCATAAGTGCATGTGCTTTGTAGGTCACATGTAAAAATGCAGTGGACTCTGTACATTTCAGGTAATGTTGGATGAGTCGGAGTGAGGAAAATGGAATTGAAGTTCAGTTTAGCAAGAAAGATCAAAGAGAAAATAAAAATATAGGCAGAGGAGAGATGAAATCCAGAAAGATGACCATGGCAAGATAAGAGTCTAGAAGATTTGAGTGTTGGTATGAGTGATGTCATTGAGCAGAGATGAACAGTGTTCCTAGGGCAGAAGTTGATTGTTCTGTTACTATTTATGCCATAGTTGGTGATACTGAGGTCTGTCTGCTGATCATAGACAGAACATTTATTCTAGGCTTTCAAGTTAATCTCATTTTCAATGGCTAGAGATAGAGATGCTAGGTTTGCCTTAGAATCTTGGATTGGCTAGTAAGAGCATGAGTGAAGAAATATAAACCCTATTTTGGGGATTCTAGTTGTAATACTTTCTCTGCAAAACTATTCTTTCACTCAATCAGAGCCCTCATTTCATACTGACTACCTTCTTTTCTAGTACTGTATCTCCAAAACTTCTTATTTACATTGTTTCTCAGCTTATATTCCATTGTTCATAATTTTAATCACTTTCCCCCAAGTATATGTAAATCTCTTGGCTCAACTCCCACTGTGACTGAGTGGAAAACCTCTAATCTGATTCAATTCAACTCTCAGCCTACTCCAGGCCTGCACCTCAGAAGCTAATTGGGCCAGTGAAAAACACAAAACCATTAATCCCAACTGAGTCCTGGCATTTGCCATCCCTGCTACATTCCTCCACTCATTCACTTTCTCCTGATCTGAGATTAGTATTCTCCCAGCTTCTGTTTTCCCCCTGAAAACCCCAATCCTTCCTCCTTTACCTTCACTCTAAGCTGACAAATACAATAAGTGACCTAATAAGACATTTCCACTTGGATTTCTACCAGATGTCTCACACTTAACATGTCCAAAAAGAACTATTGGTTTCCCCATAGCCTGTCCCTCCTGAAGTCTTTTCTGCCTCAAGAAATGACTTCATTTCTTCCATCACTTCATTCCATTTCATTCCATCACTTCAGTTGCTTATGCCAAAAACCTTAGCATCATCATTTATTGTGTTCAATCTCTGATTCTATTGCAATCAGTCAGCAAATTTTGTTATCTCTACTGTCAAAAGTATATCTTATGTTAGATCATTTCTTACCATTCTTCTACTACTCTTCTGCAGCCATGCTTCATTCCTGAGGGTTGGTTTTTTTGTTTTTTTTTTTAGCATGCCAAGTCATTCCTACATTAGAGTCTTTGTATTTGCTGTTTTCTGTATTTAGAATACACTTAAAAATTTTTTTTTCCCATGATTTTCTTCCGGGGTCCTTTATATCTTTGCTCACATCTCCCTGTCCGTTCTTTTTGGAGTTCCCCATATAAATGAGCAGCCCCAAGACATTGTACTCTGTTTCACCTTACTTTACCTATTTATTTTGTTGTCAGTGTCACCTCACTAGAATGTAAAATCCATGAGAGCAAGGACATCGCCTGTTGTATTAACTACTGTACCCCCAAGGCCTAGAAAAATACTGACACAGAGAAGGCATTCAGAAACTTTGTTGAATGAAAGATTGAATTAGATGCCCATGCCTCATCAAGTCTTTCAGATGACACTATTTGGACTGAGAAAATATATTCTGGGTTCCCAAAGCACTTTTAATATTAACAAACTATTACTGCTTTTACAGGTGACTCATTTCAGAAAGTGGAATTAGCCCTGACAGGCTCAGGACTTCCAGTCTTACTACAGTTTGATCCTGGAAGGGTTCTTAATTTTGCACCTTGTTTCATGGGTGGACATTCAGAGATTCATTGTGTTATGCAAAATCGATCCAAATCCCTTCCTCTCATGTACCACTTTAAAAAAACTGCATATTTTAAAATTGATCCTCAAAAGGGCAAGATTGATGAAGGATGTATGCAGGTAAGATTATCACTCTATGCTTTCACATGCTTTAAATAGTTTAAGGTTGACTAAAAAGCCATGCAGAGGATAAAAGCCTACATTTGTTGCACCAGTGTTTAGAAATTTAATCTCTTTTGTGGCCTAGTTATGAATACTTTTGTATCGGTACCTGTACAATATTCATAATTATTTCTTACGTGCCCTTCATGTGCCAAAATACAAAACCAACACTATAGAGAAAGTAAAGAAGTGCAAAACATAGTTACTGCTCTTATGGATTTTTTTTTCCTGAGAGAGTATTTATCTATGAGCCCAGGAGGTTGACCCCTAAACTTAAATATCCAGCACGGAGCTTTGACCCTCTCTCACAAGGGTGGATCCAGGAATGATCCTGGAGCCCGTGTCTAGGGCAGTGGAACCCCAGGGACCAGAAGCGGGAAGCCTCTGAGCCAGCGGCTGCTGGATGGTGAAACTGCGGTGGGAACCAGGCCCTCTTCCCGATCCCAAGAGCTGAGGATGGTTGGCCAAGCTTGAGCGCACACATGTGGGGGAAGTGGAAGTCAGTGCCATGTGCAGAAGCTGCAGCCTGGTTCCGACCCAGTGCCAGGAGAGAGGTGGTGGCGGCAGTTTTGCCACCAAGAGGCCCAGGTCTTGCACTCCTGTGAGGCGAGGCGGTAGGGGGAAAGCAGGCCCTAGAGTCTGAGGACTAGCCGAGGGATGCACCCTCCCAGGCCTGCTCTTGAGAGGCTGGTGTGGAAGGCGCCCTGCAATGGCCGGTCATGGCACCGTGCATCGGGGGCACCGTGAGGCGTGGGGGTCGAGGCTGGCGTCAGGAGGCTCGCCGTCACCCGCTGAGTGCAGGAGGACGAGTCTCGGCACCGGTGCTGGTAGCTCGGGATCGGCTCCTACAGCGCCTCCTGCTGGCGCGGCGGGGACGCGTGCGGCCGCCGCAGCCAGGTCGCCACCTGGGGCCATCCAGGTGGGCGGTGTACCCGGGGCCGCTGCCGGACCTCGGCGGCTTGGGTCCCGCTGGCCGCGGCTGCGTGGGCAGTGGATGCGCCCCAGCTCTGGCCACGAGCCTCGGGCGATGAGCGGACCCAGTCCGCGCCGCCCGGCGCGGTACCCTGGCCTGGAGCAGCCCCGGGGGATGAACCTGGGACGCCGCCTCCTCCTCTCCAACGCTCTGCTGGGTAAGAAATTTTTTAATGCATTATGGAAGCGTCAGACATACACACAAACAGGTAAGGTTCAAGAAGAATGCCAAATGTCTTAAAACAGATCTGTAACAAGGTGATATAGAACCTCCAGAAAAAGAGACACAGATGTATAGAACAGACTTTTGGACTCTGTGGGAGAAGGCGAAGGTGGGATGATCTGAGAGAATAGCACTGAAACATGTATATTATCAATTGTGAAACAGATCGCCAGTCCAGGTTTGATGCATGAGACGTGCTCAGGGCTGGTGCACTGGGATGACCCAGAGGGGTGGGATGGGGAGGGAGGTGGGAGGGGGGTTCAGGATGGGGAACACATGTAAATCCATGGCTGATTCATATCGATGTATGGCAAAAACCACTACAGTATTGTAATTAGCCTCCAACTAATATAAATAAATGGGAAAAAAAAAGAACCTCCAGCCAGATAGAAAGGTCTGCCAAGATGGCAACATAAGAGCCAGACCTTGAAGGTTGAGTTGAATTTTCACATTGGAAACAAAATGCTTAATTGGTGGAGGCCTTGGAGAGCTTCCCATGCAGAGCACAGAAGTTGAACGCCAGGACATACCTGTGAGTGCTGAGGACGCTTTCTAGATGTCCGGTTTGCTTTTCCTCACTACTCAGTTCTTTCCCAGATCGTCTGCCACTTGTTTTGTGTTTGTTTTAAGTAAACTTTTATTGAATGTAGCCGCTCTTATTTGTTGCCTATTGTCTATAGCTGCTTTCATGCTACAAGGGCAGGTTAAATAGTTGTGAGTTGTATGGTTCATAAAGCCTAGTTACTGTCTGGTAATTAACAGAAAAAGTTTGCTGAGTCTTGCTCTAAACACCATTAGACAGGAGTGGTTTATTTCACCTGGGGTTCTTACCTTATCATCTTTCCTCCGATGCATAGTGGTTTGGTTCATAAAGTTATTGATGGAAGCTTTCTCCCAGTTGCAATCAAGAGCTATTGTATACATGTTTAAATGCATGCAGTCAATATGTATAACTCTTCCTGCTTCATTAGAATGACACTCCCTCCCCCCATTTTCAATAGAGCTAATTAGTCTTCAGAGAATAACACATGCTAACCATTATGCAAAACATTTTCTTTTTAATGGCTTCTTAGACTAAGCACAGCACAGCCCATAGACTTCCTTTAGTCTGTCTCTTAATCTTACCAGCGTAATTCATTTTCTCCAGTAACCTGCATATCTTTCAAAACATAGCTGATTTTCCCTGATCAGAGAAGCTCACAAGGATCACAGGAATTTGGTCAATTTCTCTTAGCAGCCCGCTCCAAGTGTTAAAGAGTTTGAAGCTGAAAGACCGATTATCAATTTCCTACAGAAGTGCTTTACATGAGGAAGAGAGAGTGGCGAGGGAGTTGAGAAAGAATGTAGTGAGCGGAACAAAATGAGTGAAAGATTTTTAAATAGCAGTGTTTTAGAAAAGATGGAAAATAATAGCCCAAAGAAAATAAAGGCTCTGATGAATTTATAATGTGGAAGGATATGTCCTACATCCTTTGTGATACTCTACTTTTGCTAGTTGAAAAGATGTTTCAGAACTTATCGCGGCATCCAACTTCAATTTTGATTAGCATTATCTTAGGAATGGGCCAAATACTCAGGAAACAAGAGAAATATTAAAGGATGAAATATATAGAGGGAAGTGATAGTAATAGGCTATTTTTAAATTTGTGTGTGTGTGAGTCACTTCAGTTGTGTCCGACTCTTTGCGACCCTATGGACTGTAGGCCACCAGGCTCCTCTGTCCATGGAATTCTCCAGGCAAGAATGCTGGAGTGGGTTGCCATGACCTTATCCAGGGGAATCTTCCCAACCCAGGTGTTGAACCTGCATCTCTTATGTCTCCTGCATTGGCAGTCGTGTTCCTTACCACTAGCACCACCTGTTCAGTTCAGTTCAGTTCAATCACTCAGTCGTGTCTGATTCTTTGTGACCCCATGGACTGCAGGACACCAGGCCTTCCTGTCCATCACCAACTCCCGGAGTTTACTCAAACTCATGTCCATCGAGTCGGTGATGCCATCCAACCATCAAATCCTGTGCCGTATCCTTCTCCTCCTGCCCTCAATCTCTCCCAGCATCAGGGTCTTTTCAAATGAGTTAGCTCTTCACATCAGGTGGCCAAAGTATTGGAGTTTCAGCTTTAACATCAGTCCTTCCAATGAATATTCAGGATTGATTTCCTTTAGGATGGACTGGTTGGATCTCCTTGCAGTCCAAGGGACTCTCAAGAATCTTCTTCAACACCACAGTTCAAAAGCATCAATTCTTCCGCACTCAGCATTCTTTATAGTCCAGCTCTCACATCCATACATGACTACTGGAAAAACCATAGCTTTGACTAGACGGACCTTTGTTGGCAAAGTAACGTCTCTGCCTTTTAATATGCTGTCTAGGTTGGTCATCACTTTTCTTCCAAGGAGTAAGTGTCTTTTAATTTCATGGCTGCAGTCACCATCTGCAGTGATTTTGGAGCCTCAAAAATAAAGTCTGCCACTGTTTCCCCATCTGTTTGCCATGAAGTGATGGGACCAGATGCCATGATCTTAGTTTTCTGAGTTGAGCTTTAAGCCAACTTTTTCACTCTCCTCTTACACTTGCATCAAGAGTCTCTTTAGTTCTTCTTCACTTTTTGCCATAAGGGTGGTGTCATCTGCATATATGAGGTTATTGATATTTCTCCTGGCAATCTTGATTCCAGCTTGTACTTCATATAGCCAAGCATTTCTCATGATGTACTCTGCATATAAGTTAAATAAACAGGGTGCCAATATACAGCCTTGACGTACTCCTTTTCCTATTTGGAACCAGTCTGTTGTTCCATGTCCAGTTCTAACTGGTGCTTCCTGATCTGCTTACAGATTTCTCAAGAGGCAGATCAGGTGGTCTGGTATTCCATCTCTTTCAGAATTTTCCACAGTTTGTGGTGATCCACATAGTCAAAGGCTTTGGCATAGTCAATAAAGCAGAAATAGATGTTTTTATGGAACTCTCTTGCTTTTTTGATGATCCAATGGAGGTTGGCAATTTGATCTCTGGTTCCTCTGCTTTTTTGAAAACCAGCTTGAACATCTGGAAGTTCACAATTCGCATATTGCTGAAGCCTGGCATGGAGAATTTTGAGCATTACTTTACTAGCGTGTGAGATGAGTACAATTGTGTGGTAGTTTGAGCATTCTTTGGCATTTCCTTTTTTTGGGATTGGAATGAAAACTGTTTTTCAGTCCTGTGACCACTGCTACATTTTCCAAATTTGCTGACATATTGAGTGCAGCACTTTCACAGCATCATCTTTTAGGATTTGAAATAGCTCAACTGGAATTCCATCACCTCCACTAGCTTTGTTCATAGTGATGCTTCCTAAGGCCCATTTGACTTTGCATTCCAGGATGTCTGGCTCTAGGTGAGTGATCACACCATCGTGATTATCTGGGTCTTGAAGATCTTTTTTGGATAGTTTCTCTCTGTATTCTTGCCACTCTCCTTAATATCTTCTGGTTCTGTTAGGTCCATACCATTTCTATTCTTTATTGAGCCCATCTTTGCATGAAATGTTCCCTTGGTATCTCTAATTTTCTTGAAGAGATCTCTAGTCTTTCCCATTCTATTGTTTTCCTGTATTTCTTTGCATTGATTGCTGAGGAAGGCTTGCTTATCTCTCCTTGCTATTCTTTGGATCTCTGCATTCAAATGGGTATATCTTGCCTTTTCTCCTTTGCTTTTGGCTTCTCTTCTTTTCACAGCTATTTGTAAGGCCTCCTCAGACAGCCATTTTGCTTTTTTGCAT